AGTTTGGTGCGGTTAACTTTGAGTTTGTATCTATTGTGTGCTCTTGTGTTGTTATGGTTGAAGCTGAAGTATTCATTGACAGGTAGGACATTGCAATGTATGATTTTATATACCATGCTTAAGTCAGACCGAAGACGGCGTAATTCAAGGTTTTCTAGTTCTAGAATTTCAAGTCTGGTGGCATAAGGTATTCTACAACGAGTAGAGGAGTGGAGAACTCTTCTTGTGAAATATTTCTGGACTTTCTCAATTGTGCTAATATCAGATACGTAATGTGGGTTCCAGACTGATGAACTGTATTCGAGTATTGGTCTAGCAAATGTTTTGTATGCTCTGGTTAGTAGTGTGATATTACCAGAGAAAAAGCTACGTAGGATTAGGTTAACAACTCTTAATGCCTTTTTGGCTATGTAGTTGCAGTGGGCTCTAGCACTTAGATCATTAGAGGTGAGTATTCCAAGGTCCTTTACAGAGCTTGGGTCATCAACAAGATCTTGACTATTCAGCTTGTATTTTATTTTCAGATTTTTTTTGCCAATATGTAAGACAGAGCATTTATTTGTTGAGATTTGAAGTTGCCATTTGTTTGACAATTCTGATACATAGTCAAGATCTTTTTGTAGGGTAGCAGTATTGTCTGTGGTATTGAACAGCTTTACATCATCAGCGAAGAGAACGCAATTGCTCTTAATATGATCACAGAGGTCATTTATGTAGAGTATGAAGAGAGTTGGTCCTAGAACACTGCCTTGGGGGACACCACTATTGACAGGTACTGAATTTGATAGGACGCTCCCAATTTTGACCATTTGTTGTCTGTTTGACAGGAATGCTTCTATCCAGTTATTCAGTTGTCCAGAGATACGCTTTTAACAGATGCCATTGGTTAGATACAAATTATCAGTGCATTATTAGACAGTAAAATTGTGGGCATTACTGTATATCGATTTTGATTTAAAAGTGAAAAAGATATTCAAGGTTCGGGATTTATTCTAAGCACTTTGAATTAAGATCCTAGGTGTGACAAGCATAGCCTGAAATTTCTCTGCTTTATGATTTTTTTTTAAGTTTCAGAAATAACTCGGTTACTGAATATGTGATTGACTTTTCACACATTTAAAATGCTTGATAAAGCTTCGAAAAGTTTTTTTTTATCCATCCTTTTGTTACTAATCTTAAAACAATAGATTTGAGAAAGCATCTGTGACAGCTTATAGTTCATTGTGGAATTGAGAGTAACTGGAAACCTGTCCATAGTGCCAAGTGCACAATATTTTTATGCAGTCTATGTGTCATTTGTCATTTATTCTAGGGACAGGCAGACTTCAATGCTTTATAGAATTTCTCTTCCTCTCTTATTTTTTGCTACACTGCCAAGATCCAGTAATTAAAACCAAATGCAAATGAAAATATAAATTAGAGTATGAATTGAGAATATGAATAAAAATAAGACTATGAATAGAAGAATTATGTCTAGCCTAGGAATTTTTTAAAGGTGTATTTGTACCATTGTACATGAAAGTTGCAATCACTGCATGCAATTTTCCACTCCAAAAATATAAAGCTGCTTAATGTAACTATAATTTGCTATACATTCACTATGAGAAATCTTGATAACTTTCCATGTAGCATTCTTTTTTTCTTTAGTGCATTTTTTTGGCTACTTTTCTTTTCATATTTCCAGCTGAACTTGCTAATGGAATGATAGGAAGCAAGTGTGTCAGTTCTTGTGCTGATTTTCAGTGCTGAGTGCCATTACGACAATCCTTTTTTGCATTATTTTTACTTCTAAGAGGCTGTCAGGCTACAGAACTGTTCCCATTCAATCAACTAGAATGACCTTGTGGAAACATATCAAAACGTATAAAAAAGGAATGAGATGAGACAATTCATGTAGGGGTTAAAAGCAGCGTCTAATGTCTCAGGCATACCGGGATAGATAAAGGAGTTTAGAACCCCTCCCCTTCTCTCAATGTGTATTTTGTGAAACAAAAGCCAGTATATTTATTCCACCCCCACCCCTTCTGAAGGAACAATCTTTTTCACAGTTTCCCAAGCATACATCTCACTGGAATTTTTATGGTCTTCTCATCTCCTGGCTGTGTCACTCAGAGGTGTTAGGTTCCGGCCATCTGGGATTCATCTCTCCATTGTATCATGTGTGGGTTATACAAATTCGATATAAGATTGAATGTATTCAAGTTACATCAAGGAATGATTTCTTTATCAGTCTCCCCCCACTTTTCTTCTTCCACTGAAGAAATGACAGATACACGGATCTGACAGAGGCAATATGGCAGACTGTTGCTGTTACAGATATTCTAAAAGAGCTCGATTTGACAAGAAAGTGTGGATATTGGTCTAAGTGTGGATATTGTTCTAAGGGGGCGTGCATAAGCGCACCAACGTGCCTACCGTCCCTGTCCTATTGTTTCTCTTATTCTTTTATTTTTCTTATATGTACCCATTTCATGTATTCACAACTATGTATACGCTTATACTTATTATCTTGTAAACAATTGGCAAATCAAATAAATAAAAATAAATAAAATAAATAAATAGAATTCAAGATTTAAAAAAACAGTATTTAGGGATGCTGTTACTGAGTGCATGCTATTGCAATCTGTAGCAATTTTTTCCCTGAACTTCTGTGAATCAGAAATGCTATCTTGCGTGTAATCTTCTTTGGGCAAGTGATCATCCCTCAGCATCATCTCCCTTGGATCATTTTAAATATAATTTACTTTCTACTGATGCTCTGATACAAATGTAAATAATAACTTGTATGACAATCCCTGGCAGCATTTTATATAAAATAGCTAGCAGCTATCACTGTTAAGGAGAATTTAATGAGTTTCAATCTCCAGGGCCAGATTAACTACATACTGTGATACAGTAGAAACTTAAAAGTCTCGCTAAAACTTTCTTTTTTTCCTTTCAAGAAATTTTTGAGAAGTGGAGGAAGTCAAATATTTTCTCTGTATTTAAAAAAGGGAGGAACGAACAATCTGGGGATTTGCAAACTAATCAATCTGACATGTCTGAAAAAATTACAGTACAGACTCAAAGAGAGATCTATACGCACCTTGAAAACAGTGCAATAATTGTCTGCAACCTGAATATGGATAAAACTCTGAATATTAGGAAATTTCACAGAATAGGAAATGTATGTTGTCTTGGACAACATAAAGAAGTATCTTGCCATGATATACTTGTAAAATTTACATATTTCAAGACAAAACAGGCAATACTGGAATTTCTTTAAAACCTGGAAATATAATTATTTTTTTATCAAATGTACTCCCAGGCATATTCAAGAAAAGGAAAAATATAAGCTTTACTATTTAGTGGTTAAGCTACTGGTCTATAAACCAGGATACTGTGAATTCTAGGCCTGAAAGCCATCAAGATGACTCTGGGCAAGTCACTCTCTCTCACCCCAGCTTACGTGACAGGGTTTTGTGGGGAAAATAGGAGAAATAAAAGTTAATTATGTCCGCCACCTTGAGTTATTTATAAAAATAATAATGGGGGAGGATATAAATATCTTCTGCTACTAGTTAGACTACTTCATTTTATACAGAGTCTTTTCTGTATGGATCCTGGCAAAATGTTTGTGAACTGCATATTGTGACATATATGTCACAATTCTCTCCCTTATTTATATTATGGAAATAAAAACATCCTAGGAAGAGAGAGTTTATTTATTATTCTTCAATTCATAAAATGTACCCAGTAATAGATATGAGTAGGATATGAGTTTTTAATTCATTGTTAACTAACATAGATGTAAAATTGGAAGCTCCTACCATCCAGGTTATAATCCAATAACTTTAAGACTAAATACAGAAACTTGCAAATTGAAAAAAAGGAGATTAATGAACTTTTATTATCACAAGAGGATATTAGATTGAAGTATCATCAGGAACTGAAGAGTTTTTATGAGTTTAAACCTTCAGTGTTAGAATACCATACTGGATAGAATATGAACAAATAAATAAACAAATAAGAAACAGAATAGGGTATATTGCTGAACAAACAGAAACAATTAGAAAACCAATTTTAGATTTAGTACAAAGGATAAAAGCAATCAATAAAATTGATTGCTTGTTAATGCAAGTAAACAAGACTTACAAGAAACTGAATTTATTAAACTGAAATATTTTGAGAAAAGCAACCTGAAATAATTTGTTGGCCTAGTAAATGCATAAGGAAAAAAACAAATGAACTATTATTTCTATTTGGGATAGAACCAAATATGTCTCTACAATCAAAGCAATCATGAAGCAATTTATTAATTATTATTCCAGATTTGATAATAAACAGACATTTGATCTAGACTTATTGAAGAATATTAAATCAAACCTTACCAAATGTACAGGTCAACAAAAATAAGTCCTCGTTCATTCATTTAATTTCCTTAATGTATAAGTAAAAAGAAAACTAAAGCAATAAATATCAACTAAAGAAATAGAAATTAATGGAGAGCTATAGGATGATACTTAGGTTGGTAATAATACTTGTAAAAAATACTGGAATAATCATTGGTTTTCAACTGAATAACAGACAGCAAAGTTTTTACACAGACACAGACACACACACACACACACAAACACAAAGACATATGGCTACAAACAATACACATTCAGTTTTGCCTGTACAGAAGTTATTTATTCTATATTGCTCTAAAATACAAGCCCTAGAATAATGGATTCAGATTACAAATTGGTGGATTCTGATTGAATGTTAGAAGAAATTTCCTAATACTGTAATGACAGGATAACTAATTATCCAAAGAAGTGCTGGACACCCCTTAACTGAATGTATGGATGTTGGACTTTGAAATCATTAACTGAGATTTCTGCACAGGCTTGGACTCATTAGGCTAAGAACCTCCTTTTAAACATATGCTTTTATGATATACATAGAAAGATGAATATAGCATTTATAACCAGCCTCACATATTTCTCTATCTTTCTTCTAACAGACTAGCCTAAAAGATGAATCTGAATCTTTGGAATACCAAAGATATATTTATGACTCCAACAAAAATGGGGTAAGAAGATTATTGCTGCCATTGTTATTGATTTGTATTACTTTGTAATGTTCAACATCGTGACTTTCAAACCATGTTTTTTTAAGTTGAAAACAAGATGTGGTCAGTAATACTCACAATTTGTTCAGTGTGGACCTTATGTCAAATTCTTGTTAAAAGTAATCTTAAATGGAGGAGAACAGGACTGGATAGACCAGGGGTCGCCAACCTTTTGGACCTCAGGGACCACCAAACTCATAATTTTAGATCCCAGGGACCACTAACTGGTTCTGTGGGTGTGGCCTAATTTGTGGGTGTGGCTTAGTGGTCATGTGACTGGCTGGGCATGGCTTGTATGTAAATATTATAAATATTTATATAAATGTTGAATTTTTTTATAAAAAAGAGCAACTTTTACCCAAAATCAGGCAAAGCAGGCAGGCAGATTGAGTTGCTCACAGAATCACAGATTCATTCAGAGATCTATCTATCTGCCATCGGCTAGCTCAGTCTGTCACATAAAATTTGCTTGCAAGCAAACTCACAAAATTAACTCACAACACATGCACGTAAGTATTGAATTTTTTTTTAAAAAAGAGCAACTTTTACCCAATATCAGGCAAAGTAGGCAGATTGAGTTGCTCACAGAATCATTCAGTAATCTATCTATCTATCTATCTATCTATCTATCTATCTATCTATCTATCTATCTATCTATCTATCTGCCATCGGCTAGCTCAGTCTCTCAAATTTGCTTGCCGTGAGTCTGCACTGAATTTGGTTGCAAGCAACCCTTCAGTCCTAAGAGTTTGGCTGTACTTAAAAGCAGAGCCGAAGATCTAAAGACTAGCTGGAAAACAAGAAATCCAACCATTTTCTGTTTCCTAGCTAATCTAAATCTCCTGGCACAGAAAACAGATGATGGTCGGAAAAAGGAAAAATAAAAATTTAGCAGACAAGTTTACCAGGTAAGGAGTGAGTGGGTGGGGAGGGTTCCTGCGGGCCATGTGGGCGGCTCAGCCTTGTGTTTCTGCGCTGTTAGGTATAACATTGATACCAAATATGGTTTGGGTGAATAAATAT